GACAATGGTCCAGCATGAGTAGTCAGGACAGAGAACTGGCCCCTGTATCAATTAAGAAATCAGTTTTCTTACCTGCCACCTCTGTGGTTACCCAAGGCTCCTCATCAATGACAGTGAAGTTAGTGTTGGGAGCCTTTAGAGTCCCTGGGCCCCTTTAGTCCAAACTGGCCACCATGGCACTGAGAGTCTCATCCCCGCTTTGGGAGAGGGGTAGTCCCTCTTCCAGTGTCTTGTTTTTTTGCATAGTGGACAGGGCCCTAGGGATTTGTTTTGAGGACAGTCCTTTTTCCGGTGTTCCAACTCCCTGCACTTAAAGCAGCAATCCTTCGAGGCCACATTCTCTTTCTCCAGTTTAACAGCCATTATGAGTTTTCTAAAGGATGGCAGTTTGCTATTAATAGCAATAGCTAATAGGTGGGCTTGTCATTAATCCAGCGGCCTCTCATGTTGGGCTTTTTCTCCCTTTTCACTTACATCTCTATTAAACACCTCAAATGCCTTGTCTAATAGCTGGTGAGTAGGGGTTTGGGGTTTCATGACCAGCTTTTGTAGTTTTCTGTGGATATCAGGGGCTGACTGGTTTATAAATGGGTTCACATATATATATTTGGCCCTCATGGGAGTATATTTTGTATGTTTTCTGATGGCATCAATGAAGCATCCCTGGAAAAGGGCTGGGTTCTCCCATGGTTCTGGAGTTATTTCTCTGACTTTTGTCATAATTTATAGGTTTCATAATACATTTCTTTATTCCTTCCCAAAAGCAAAGAAGCATACGGTCCCCTTCCTCCTTAAGTCCACCTGTCCTGTCCGTTTTGATAATTTCCTTGGGGGTTTTTGCTAGGTACAGCGGTGGCCCTTATGGCATATTGGCCAGGCTGCCCAACTGCTAAATCATCAGCATGGGCCTGAGCTGCCTCACAAATGTGGCATTTCTCTTTGGGGGTACAACAGGTAGATAGACTAACATGTATATCCCCCCACGTCAATTCAAAAGACGACAGGGTTAGGAATTCTTCTAAGAAGCGAGAAGAGTCCTCAGAAAATTTACCTAACTTTTGCTTACATTGTGCCAGGTCAGTCATGGAGAAAGGGACGTGCACTTGAATGGTCCCAGCATCCCCATTTGTCACTTCCCTTAGAGAAAATAATTTGGCTGGCAGATTAGGCTGGTAAGAGGTTCCACGCCTGGTTAGCCATGCAGGGCTAAGTTCTGGGTGGAGACAGATCCTGTTTTGGGCTCTGATCTGGGTTTGGTCCCGTGGCCTTGGGAGCCTAGGTAATAGGTGGTATATTCCCAAGGAGGGTGGTCATTGATGATATCGGGCTTTTCTTCCTGCTGGGTCTCAAGAAGAAACGTATATATACAAAATCTGGCAGGTTTTCCTGAGGTCTGGGTTCTGATACAGAGCTATAAAAGCCTGGACTTAAGGAATTTATGACTTTTTGTTCTCATTTACAAAACAAATTTAATTGCATTATAGGGTTATAATTTAGAGTCCATTTTCAGGCCGTATCTGTCCATCTCCTAACTCATATTGTGGCAAAGTGGTATTATAAAAGAAAGTAAGCTTTTTCTTTTATATCCCATCCAATTAAAAGGTTCCGCAGTTACTCAGGATGCAACCTAAAGGGGAGTCCATAGGAATGGACTGAGAATCACCCACCAGTGCTTATCTCTATTCCTCTGGGAGCGAAAACGTGTAAGAAAGGGAAAAAGGACCTTGTTAGTGAATCCCTAGTCATCTGTTGGTCCAACCAGCACCCAGGTGTCCTTGGGGCCCCTAACAACTCCCTGCAGGAGTTTGAAACCTGGCATCCGGGAGGAAGAATAGAGGGCTACACTTGGCGTTTCCAGGAACCTGAGTATCCCTGAAATTGGGCCTAGTCTAGCTGGGTCCATTGTAACAGTGATATGCAGAGCTGCCTAGCACATAAGTTTTGGATGGTGGAGGCCTTAAACGAGTGTAAGTCTTTTAACAATTGTAAACACCAAAGGGATCGATCAGCATTTCCTGGGATAATCTGTGGCTTCCCATGACCAATTGTCCTTTCTGCTTCCCGAGCATAGCCCAAACTTACATAGAAGGTGTCTCATCAGGCATAAAATGGAAATAAAAGGATATTTGTGGGAAGCAAAATGAGGAAATTCCATGGAGCTTGCTCCTTCTCCAAAATCTGACAGAAAGCATCTGTAGCATGGCTGCTCCGGGTCCCTGGATCTGCAATAAAAAGTAGCCAGTCTTAAGAGTTGATCAGGGCTGGTAAGTGCCAACTGAGACAAAAAAAGAAAGTGGTAATAAATTGTGGTGTCGGGGTAAGTCAATGAAAGGAAAAGAGGATTAGGAAGGAGAGAGGGGAAAAGGGGAGGGGAGGAATATGCGCCGTGTCCCACCAGGGAAGCCTGCAGTGTGGACAGCTGGAGTCCATGGGATCGTGCATTCATGAAATCTTGTGATCGTTCAATGTCCCAAGCAGCTTGGCCATATAACTGGAAGATGATGAAAACAAGGACCTGATCTCTGAGGGATTGTGGGGATGGATCGAAAAAAGGAGGGGCTATATGATGCAAGAAATGAGAAAGAAGGTCTCTTTTACACCATGTCTAATCAGTGGAACACCTAGAGCCCCCATTTCGGGAGACATAGTAACAGTTAAAAAGATGCCTAACAATAATAGTGAAAATCTGTAGGGAATGAAGCTGAGTATCCAAAAAGAATAGTCAGAATTGGCCAGCTCTGTGGCAAGGACACGGTTCTTCTGGACAGCATGATTGGGGAATGTGAGAAGTATGAAGGAAATATGAGACAGATCCTATGCTGAAGAGTGAGCAGCAAGAGCTTGGAAGTGTTCAGCGGAATTGTCTTAAACAAAAGGGAGTAGAGCCATGTTTATGAGAGGAAAAGAAGTAATTTTCCAAGCACTGCATGGAAGGAGAACTAAGCCTCTTCCACCTTCAGGGCTCTTCTGTTAAAGAGGGTCTGAAACCTGGCTGGAGGGAGCAAAGACACCTTTGACAGCGGGAAGTGTGGCTGTAGTAGGTTTCAGAGGAGGGAGGAAACAAAGCACTCTCTAGCCAGAGGGGCGAGAATCAAAGCTAACTCACTGATGGTTGGGGGGCGGATAGTTTTTCCTGCCTAGCTCAACAAAATAAGGATGAGAAAAAGAGAGATAATTAATGAAAAATATTGAAAGTGTTTGTGTTTTTGCTCAGGGGAACGTTAATTGCAGGCATCTAGAATGCAGTTCTTTGTGAATCATATCTTGAATGTGGGCCTGTAAGGCACAGTACTGTATGTTGAAAACAACTTTCAGACTCAACAGGTGATTGTTTTTTGTTTGTTTTTTACTTGTGGGAAAAAGTAGGATGAGTTATTGTCTATAAGGATTAAACTACCTGGAAAATTTCTGGGGCAAAGGTCCTGTGGAAAAAGCAGCTCCAGTGTGGCATCCTCAGGTAGCTGAGACTCCAGTGTTATATTCTACTCACATCAAACTTAGGTAGAAGAATATTATTTTCAAGTATCAGTGATGCTGTGTCCTCTGAGGATCCACTTCAGGGACCTAGCAGCCCAGCTATCCTCATACCATAGGGTAGCTGTCAGAGCCTGGAGACCCTACTATGTATTCCACCTTAGTCAGGTGGAGTACAAATCTAGCCTTGGCAACTCTGACCCATTTCAGTCAGAACAGCAAAAACTACCTCTTAAAAAGTATTAGTAGAGACCAGGCGAGGTGGCTCACACCTGTAACCCCAGCAATTTGGGAGGCCAGGAGTTTGAGACCAGCTTGAGCAACATTGCAGGACCCCTGTCTCTACAAAAAAATTTCAACAATTAGCCAGGCTTGCCCTGTAGTCCTAGTTACTCTGGAGGCTTAAAAAAAAAAAGTATTAGTAGTGTCAGGCTAGAGCTAGACTCTTTAGCTAGCAGCAAAGTAACAATTTAACAGGAGAAAAAAAAATTTTACTTGAGGATAATTTACTCATCGAAATAGGGTAGAATAAACCCATCAATTGTGCCCTTGCAGAGATAGAGCTCAGAACTTCGTTGCTCTGCCCATTGTCATTTGAGTCTGTACTGGAAGAAATCATTGACCTGTGTTAGACATATTGCAGACTGTGATTATTCCACATGCATTACATTTGCTGGGGTTACCAGTCACTGCAAATCATGGTCCTCTGCCTCTCAGCTCAGTTTCCCTTCTGAAGATAAACACGTGCTTATGGGCCCAGGGAAGCTGTGGGGGCAAAAAATGAGCGACTTTTACAAGGCATCATAAAAATCTACAAAACTTGCTACTTAAAACACAATTTCTAATTTGCATTACTGACCTTAATACTATTGCTTAAAGATATGTGAATACTGAGATTTTTAGAAAGGAATTAAAATTGCCTCTAGAAAAATGATTGTTAAAAGAAATAACATCTCCTCAATCTGAACAAAATGGCTTAAACTATAGAAAACATTTTTAGTGTAAGTGTTGCCTTAAATTTATTCTAACTTAAACAATCATGTAGAAATCAGGTAAACATTTAAAAAACACTTTTTTTTAAAGCAGCTTCTAAAGCATAGCTTGGAGCCCAGAATCTTGGGAAATGATTAAGACACCCTAGATCCGAGATCAGCTTCTTTCCTTCCTAGGAAAACGTATCTTGAAACATATGTTCATAAAAAATACAATATTTGTCATCAGTGGTACTTGTTTTCAGGAAGACTTTTAATTGTAGCAAGTTTCTGAGTCTACCAGGTTTTAATGTGGATCAGTAATATGGGTTTGATTAGCGTTCCCCGCCTAATTATAGGTCACTAGGTTACCTCTAGGATTAAAATCTAGTATGCACCTTCTCGGTTATTTTAGGTTTGCCATTAAAAGGTTCCTAAAGGTTCCATTTCATTTTGCTAGGTTATCAAACGTTAGGCTTAAGTTACGGTAAGATACTTATGGGTGGGGGAATCTAACCCAAAGACGGCTTTCAATGAAAATTCTTGCATGGATTTGTCTTGAGTCATAACTGTTCAAATGAAACTTAGAAATGCCCCAGCCTTTTTACCTTAAGAAGCGAATAACAATACAATTTTGTTCCCAATTCAAGGACAATCTAAAGTGCCCAGTAGTAGAAGTCTGGCTTTTCCTGAATTTCAGGAACAAAAGAAGCGTTCCCGAGCGGAGAGCGGGGGGGATTTAACTCCCTGCCCTCCTTCGCCCCCGCAAGTAAATCAAGGAATATGAGTGCCTGCAGACATGCCTCGCTTCTTTCCTTTCCCTTCAGGGGTAGCGTTTGGGGAAGGCAAGGCTGCGGCCACTCTTCTTCGGTGGGTCAGTGTCCCGGGAGGAAGAAAGGCCCAGCCAAGGGTCCTCGTAGCTGGCGTGGAATTCGGCCCGTTCGACCCCAGAGAGGAAGGCTGCTTCTTAAGCAAGGAGAAGGAGAGGAAACGGCGCCCCAAAACGGTACGACTTGTCCTTTATCAGCGTCTGAGGGAAAGGGTGGAGGAAATGAAAACAGAACCGGACCGGGTGCCTCGGCTCCCGCCCGAGCGGCTTTTAAACTGCGTTTCTACCACCTCTCGCTCGGCGCTGCGGCTAATGGAACCCGCGCGAGCCAACCCGCCAATGACCGCCACGCTTCCTCCCGCTGCCCGCCAATGGCGGCGCGCGTTCTTGGGGCGTGGGCGAAGCAGGCTGTTCGCCTCCTGCCTGTAGTGTGTGGGCTGGGGTTGGTGCGGGCTTCTAGCTTGGCCGCACTTGGTCCGTGGTTGCGCTCCGGGGGCTTTTGTGTCCGGGGCTGAATTTGCTTTGTGTCCGGGAGTTTCTGCTCTGCTCCGCGGCGTTCGTCCCGGGCGGGAGCCGAGAGGCTCGGAGGCGGCCGCGCGGCCCCCGGCCAGGAGCTAGCGCGCCGGCGTGAGCGACGGCTGTGAAGGCTGCGGGGAAGGGGATTCGCAGATCGCCGAGATGCCGGAGTTCCTGGAAGACCCCTCGGTCCTGACAAAAGACAAGTTGAAGAGTGAGTTGGTCGCCAACAATGTGACGCTCCCGGCCGGGGAGCAGCGCAAAGACGTGTACGTACAGCTCTACCTGCAGCACCTCACGGCGCGCAACCGGCCGCCGCTCGCTGCAGGCGCCAACAGCAAGGGGCCGCCGGACTTCTCCAGCGACGAGGAGCGCGAGCCCACCCCAGTCCTCGGCTCCGGGGCCGCCGCTGCGGGCCGCAGTCGAGCCGCCGTCGGCAGGGTAAGGACGCCGGGCCGGGGCCACAAAGGCGGGCGTTTGGCGGTTGCGGCGCGCGCTCGCCCCCAGCCGCAGCCCCTCCCTCCCGGGCGCCGCGTCGCCGAGCTCCCCAGCCGCAGGGAGCTGGCCCTGGAAGGAAGGGTGCAGGGGAGGGAGGCCTGAAGTTGGAGCCGCGGGGCTCGCGTCTTTTGACGCTGTGTGTGCGGGAGGTGTGAAGTTGCGTTCGCGATGGCTATTTTGCGCGCAGGTGTGGGCTGCGCGGGTGACTCGGGGCTCCTGGCCCGCCGACCGCCGGGAGTGGGCACTTAGGAACTTCCGTGTCCTTTTCGGAAGCCTCGGGAGGATCCGCTCTAAAATGCTGTAGGTTAAGTTTGAGCGATTTCCCGCTTTATTAACTGAAATGTCTTGCAGCAGAGTCTCAGAGCGCTCCCTGGAGGGCAATTTGTGACATACCGATTTCTAACCAAAGTTTGAAATAATGATATTCCCGCCTTTTTATATTTTTGCATATGGAGGGTTTTTTGAACCGTTAATGTTTTCTTGTTTGTTTTAATCTTTTCCCAGCAACAAACCGTCTTTCGGCGGGACTGCTTCACTGTAAAATGAGCATTTTAAAATACACTTTTATTCCCCTGTATTGTTCAGCAGGAAAAGAAATGAAAAAAAATTTTAAGCGCTTATCATAGACAAATATTTTAAAATTACTAAGAGTTTGGATTGGGGTTTCCCCCCAATTTGGCAAATTTTGCTTGAGAGGAAAGACTTCGGATTCAGGAAAGATGTTTATTTCATGACATTCCTGCGTATTAGTATTGCAATTTGAAATGTTTGATCTCAGTTAAATCTCAGTTCAGTTCCACCAAATGCATATTTCGTTGAGAACAGTTTGCTTTCTGTTCTGTGGATTTTTATGTGCTGTTTTGTTGGTTGCATGTGCCTACCTAGTTACTGAGCTTTAAATCATAATAGAATGAAGTGATTGGTGTAACTTAAAATGCATCGTAAGGCACAATGAATGTGGTGTTTGGAGTTGTTACTGCTGGTTACTAGTATAACTCAAAATTATTGCTTCTTTCAGAGCAAATTTTAAAATACATATCTAATGTGTTTTCCTGACTACTCAGGCAGAAATGAGAGACATGTTATTAACATGTGTAAATTTAATTGAAAATCTTAGTCTGAGCTTTAGAGAAATCGAAAGTCTTAACAAATGTCTTAAGTCAGTGCTTGGCACAAAGTAGTGCCAAATAAAAATGTGTTCAGTAATAAAAGACCAGTTACACTTTTTTGTTTCTCATGTCTTGTTTTTGTGGATTTGAAGAAAGCCACTTTACCATTCTGTAATAAACAGAAATTTACTTTTGAAGTAAGGCATATCCCTTATCCATTATCCTCCACCCACTCTGAAAAAGAAGGTAGTATTCACACTATTTCAGTAAAGATTTGGTTGAAAATGAAATATTTTTAATTTAAATCAGCACATTTAAAAAAAACAGTTCTTCTGTATAACCCTGTGTTGGTCTGTGCAAATGTATTAAACCATGAAGTTTTTGGTTGTATTCTTGTAATAAGAATACAAGAATACATTGTATTCTTATTGATTCTTACTTATTTTTATGATGGTTCCTTTTTGACAAAAACAACCATCTCAGTTTTGATGTTTTTCCTTTACCACTTTGCAAAAGAGAGTTCATGTCCCCATCTACCCTGTGGTCTTTGAGGTGTAAGAAGACCTAAATGGCTGGTCACTGTGGCTCACACCTGTAATCCCAGCACTTTAGGAGGCTAAGGCAGGAGGATCGCTTGAGGCCAGGAGTTCGAAACCAGCCTGGGCAAGACAGCAAGACCCTGTCTCTACAAAAAAATTTTAAAAATTAGCTAGGCGTGGTAGTGGTTGCCTGTAGTTCCAGCTACTCTGGAGGCTGAGGTGGAAGGATTGCTTGAGCCCAGGAGTTGGAGGCTGCAGTGTGCTATGATCTGTGCCATTGTACTCCAGCCTAGGGTACTGAGCCAGACTCTGTCTCACTAAAAGTAAAAAACGTTCAAGTTGGTCAGCACCATGAAAATAAATCTTGGATGAAAAGAATTAACATTTGTTTGAGAGTACCTCCTATGACGATTGGCATGCTAAGCCCTTTATAGCTCATCTAATGTTTTCATCCATGTAGAGAATAACTTTCATATTCATGGATTTAAATGTTTTCTCTACCTTGAGTATTTAAAACTGAAAAATGTTTACCCTTGGCTGGGCTCAGTGGTACCAAGAAATTGAAAAAGTTGATATTGATAGTAGCATCATTTTCTATTTTAAAGTACGTTAAGTAAAAGTGAGTTATATAATAATTTAACTTACGAGTCTGATGTTTTTATCAGGCATAGGATAAAGTAATTTGAATTTACAAGAAAAGAACCTTAGGACATTTATAATAATATGTAGAAAATTATTCATGTCACATTCCTTTTATATATACCATATTTTATGTTTTAGTCATTTTTAGCTCCATATAAAATAACGGCATAGGGTCTCATTTCTTATCTTGGAGAAAGCCAGATTATGTTTGAGAGTTGCAGATAAGGCAGATTTTTAAGTGGTGAATTTTTAACATTTTACATTTAAAACAAAAATTTTTTTAGAGACAGGCCCAACTCTGCTGCCCAGGCTGAGTGCAGTGGCATGATAATAGCTTACTGTAGCCTCTAACTCTTGGGCTCAGGCAATCCTCCTGCCTCAGCCTCCCAACTTGCTGCCATTACAGGCATGAGCCACCATGCTTGGCTGAGAAATATTTTTAACTAAAGGAGAAATTGTTTCATTTCAGCCACGACAGTAGTCTCTTGTCTTATATTCACTGGGTGTGATATGACAAAAATTTCTTTGTTAAAAGGTTTATTTTGGTTTTGTTTTTTTCTAAGCCTTTTATGCACCTAGATGATGCTGGTGTTTTTAGATATTGAAATTATGTAGATTGTGGACCCAAAAATAAACATTTGCAGAATTGGCCTTTTTGTTCTAAAATGCAGAGCATAAAGGTGTAGCTATTTGGGATCTAGTGGAACATAGCATTCTTGAATGGTCTGGTCTGGTGAATTATGTATTCTTAACAGGAAATATTTAAAGACTTGGAAAAGAGCAGTTAAAAGTATGCTAGCGGTGGTAAATGTTGATTAAATCACTAATTGACCACCATGCTGTATAGTAAGGTGTTAAGTGTACAGACTTCTAAATTAGAGAGTTACAGATTCCAGTTGCAGGTCTGTCACTTATTCATATGACTTTGAACAGTGAATATTGCCTCTCAAATCCTCCATTATCACCTGAATTAAAGAAAAAATCTGACAGCTACTTAATCAGATTGAGGATTACAAGTGGTTGCGTATGTGAAGTGTCTAGTGTTCAGTAGTTGATACCTATTATAACATGACCTTTGAACTTTTTTGTCTTTATTTAATGCCAGAGCAATACAATACAAAGTTACTAAAATATAGTTTTCAAAAAAGGGTGAGATGAGTATGTGAAAGTGATGTATAAAATCTGTTCACTCGTAGGATAGTATGAAGATTCCTGAGTTAGCCAAGTGCAGCCTTGGACCGCAGTTTCCTCACTTGTAAAATGAGGATATTTGTATATTATAGATTTTTAGGATTCTGTAAGTGAACCCAAAGGCACTTAGAACACAACTCAATGCATTATAAGTGCTTAATTTAGTCTGTTTTATAATAATATTGTTCAATATTATTGAACAATAATTGAATAATATTGAACTACAATAATAATATTGTAGTTCATTCTCTTTGCTACTAGAGGAAGAGATTGGAGAAATTAAAGTAGCTCATAGGTGTTAATCATAGAACCATTGGATTTTTTAAACTTGGAAAAGACATTAGAGATCATTTGGTAGCTGGGAAGAAACTGGACAACAGTTCCTGGTAGGTAGAAAGTACTTGATATTTTTGAATGAAACTCTTAAGAGATCAAGTGATTTATTTAAAGGAACAAAGCTCTCTGGAGGCAGAATTGAGTACAGCTTGTGGTTTCTTCCTGATTGAAACTGCTGGCTTGCTAATCACCATACAGCACACTACCTATCTTACAATTTTTATTCTTATTAAATTTGATATTTATAAAATGGCATAACTTCTGAAACTTTTCTCCCCACAGATAAAAAATCAGGTAGCCTGTTATGAACAACCTCTGCTCTATTTGACTTACCTTCTGCAAATTTATTGGCATAAAGTTATTTAAGATTACTTTGTTCAGCTAAAGTTTTTCATTATGTTTTTAAAAAATGTAAGGGAGTTAGTTGGCTTCCTACTTCAATTTGATAAGCCTATGTTATTTCTAATAAGAAATGGGCTTTCAAAAACAAATGACTTTTTTCTTCCCAACATTGTACTTGTATTCATTCATTTGATAAAACATTTATCAAGTGCCAATTTCTGTGTGAGGTACTCTTTAGAAACTTTTAGATGCTTGGTATAAAAATATGAGTATAATAGCGATCCTCCTTTTTACTGCCTGCTTAAATGCTGCATCCAAATCACCTGAGCTACACCTTAAAAATACACGTTCTGAGGCTCAAGATTAAGAATCAGAATGGGGTAAGACCTTTTAAATTAGAGATAATTTGTAAAAGAGTTAAGGTATTGATAACCTTAACTTGAAAAAATTAATATTGATAGTCAGTAGGATCATTTTCTGTTTTAAAGTATATTAAGTAAAAGTGAGTTATTGGGACCTGGGGACTATCATTGCTCAGGGAGTTAACCATTTGGAGAAGATAAAGCATGTACTATAGTTATAACTATTAATAATAAAAAGCAGGTGGAACATGTGGAGTGCCAAAGAAAGATTTCTTGAAAACTGTTGCAAGAAGTTGGAATGCCGAATATTTTACTGATAGTAAATTTTTTTTTAATGGCTTGGATTTTTATTGTCATTAGGATGATAGTAAAATTTAAACGTTCTTATGGTGGGAAGGATTATCTACAAGTAATTTGAACCTTACTAATTGGAGTTCTTCTCCCTTACCTGACTGCGGCTTTTGGGAAATTTGAGTAGGTCTCGTAACACAGGATTAAGTCTATTTGATGAAAATAAACCTTTTCTCTAAAGAATTCAAGTCTTTAAATAAGAACTGTCAGATTCTAGGTAACTGTTTTGACATAATGGTGTGGGTTCCTTCAAGACTCAAGCGTGGTGATTCTAGATCAGTGCAATATATGTGTATTAAAGCGTTCTGAAAGTACCCTCACTATAACTTCACAGCCATTGTTTTAAAGATTTCTCTTGAATGGTCATCAAATTTTTATTTGTTAAAAACATAGAAATTCTAGTACATGGCCAAATAATGCCTGATTTTTTTCCCTCTAGCATTATTGGAAAGTAAACAGTCAGTACAACTTCATAATTTTAGCCATTTTTTGTTTAGTACTCTGATGCTTTCTGGGATTACTGAGGCATTTGTAAGGCTATTTGCCACAACCTTAAAAGGTACCCATACTTTTGCTTCCTTTGCATGTTTAACCTTGGAAATTTATATAATTTTTTCAGTAACTACTGCTGTTGCTTAATTTAAAAACTTAAAATTTCTCTCCAAGTTTGTTCCATGTTCTTTTGACTATTCTTAGCAAAATGTTCATATAGAACTTAATCTGGGGGACTAAACCGTTGGAGACGATATGTAACCATGAAGTCTGTCAGGCTTCTTTCATGGATCATAAACTGTTAGGTCATTAAATGTGAAATGTCTGATTTCGAATCAAAAGTTTATTATATCTCAAACAAGAAACAGTACAATTAATCAAAGTATGCGCCTAAACTATTGACAGAGTTCTGCCATTTTAATGATAGCTTGTTTATGCCAGCAGCAAAAGAAGCCTGGAGAGCTAGTGGCGATGAAATTTTCCATAGCTTGTTCAGAATTGAAGTGGTGCAAAGCCTGGAAGTAGTAATGGTAGTCAGTTGGTGCAAGGTCTGGTGAATGCAGTGGATGACAGAGTTTCCAAGTCCAGCCTCTGTAGTTTGAGCCTCATTTTTTGTGTGACATGTGGTTGAGCATTGTCTTGCAAGAGGATTGGCCTTTCTCTATTGACCAATCTCAGCTGCTTTATCACAAGCAGTCTCATCATGTCATCCAGTTGGTTGAAGTTGGTTGAAATAGACATCCACTGTAATTGACCAGGTTTCATGAAGCTGTAGTGGATAATACCAACTGCTGGACCACCAAACAGACACCATTAGGGTTTTTTTGATGAATATTCAGTTTTAGACTGTGTTTTCGGCACTTCATCTTTATCACAAATGCTTGCGATTGTCAAAAAGAATCCATTTTTCATCATATGTAACAATACGGCATAGAATGGTTCACCTTTATGTCACGACAGCAAAGAAAGGCAAGCTTCAAGACAGATTTCTCTTCTGACGTTCATTTAATTCATGCAGTATGGTACCCATCTATCCAGCTTCTTTACCTTACCAATTCGTTTCCAATGGTCCAACATTATTGGAATAGTAATGTCAAATCTTGCTGCTAATTCGCGGCATAGGTTGAGATGGATACGCTTCTACTACAGCTTTCAGCTCATCATTATCCACCTTGGTCTCGGTTGCCCACGTGGCTCGTTGTCAAGATTAAAATCACCTGAATAGAACTTCTCAAACTATCCACATACTGTGTGTTCATTAGCCACATCCTTCCCAAACACTTTGTTGATATTTCGAGCTCTCTGTGCTGCAGTGGTTCTATGACAGAACCAATTTCATATTTGAAAATAATACAAATTTTTGACTTATGCATGGTGTCACAAAAATAGCTGTAAAAAAAATTTTTGAAAGGTAATCACAAGCCAAAACGTGCATTTGAAAGGCTGAGGATATACCTTCACAATAAAAATAAAACAAGTGTCAAAGTGAAATGTCAGAGATTTCAACAGTCAAACTTAGTACTTAAAGAAATCGGACATTTCATACTTAATAACCTCATACTAAAATAATTATGTTACAAGGAGAATGCAGTTGTCCCTCCTATCCTTAGGGTGGGAATTGGTTCCAAGATCCCCCCTGGATACCAAACTCCATGATACTCAAGTCCCTTATATAAAAAGGTGTAGTAATCTACACACATCCTCCCTCATACGTTAAATCATCTCTGGATTACTTATAATACCTAATGCAATGTAAATGCTATGTAAATAGTTGTTATACTGTATTTTTAAAATTCGTATTATTTTAATGTATTACTGTTTTTTATTGGGTTTTTCCACCTGAATATTTTTGGTGAATATTCGGTTTTAGACTGTGTTTTAGGCACTTCATCTTTATCCAACCATTGTGCCGAATGCTTGCGATTGTCAAGCTGTTGGTTGAATCCACAGATTTGGAACCCATGGATATGGAGAGCCGACTGTATTCATTCATTTGACCTTCTTTAAGTTCTCATATGCTGTTTAATGGAAATCACTTTTATATATAACTAGTATGAACCTTTGTGGTAAAGTCTTAATTTAAACTTTTTTGGATTAATTTAAGCTTTTAAGAATTATCAAAAGGTCAATAGTAAATTGTGTTCACAGTCTGGATGAAAATTTTAAAACCCAGTCTGGCTTCTCTTTGCAACTTTCATGCTAATCTGTCTCCATTGCCGTCAGGAGTTATATGCTTTAAGAAATACAGTATAACTTTTGCTTGTTTAAAAGATAACAAGCATAAATTTTATTATAATACAGATATATAATATTATCCAGAGTCAATCAGCTTTAGTTTTTATTTACTTTTTTGAATTTTTGATGCCATTACTACCCTTTTTAGATAGTTAATCCAAAATTAACTATTTTAGTAATAATAATGTCTTTAAAATTTGAGTTACATAGTTGGCTATTTGGTTTGTATACTTAAGCTGAACTTAGAAAATATCCTCAAATAATGAGCGGCTTTTAATTGAACCAAATTGCTAAGGCCTAATATTACTGTAAATTAACTTGAAGGTGAATTTGCATGTTTATTGTATACTGAGTGTTGTGTATTTAATAAGTGAACTTTTTAATTCATGTGGAAAGTTAACTGAACTTTGTTTACAGAAAGCCACAAAGAAAACTGATAAACCCAGACTAGAAGATAAAGATGATCTAGATGTAACAGAGCTGACTAATGAAGATCTTCTGGATCAGCTTGTGAAATATGGAGTGAATCCTGGTCCTATTGTGGGTAAGTTGATGAAATTTCAAATACAGTATCTTTTCCTGTGAAGCAGGACCCCAAATTGTTTTTCCCTCTTGCTTAGCAGTTAGAATTTGTGTTCTAAGGACTGGTCTGTCATTAATCATTTATATGCCCAGAACCTTAGTTTCCTTGACTCTAAACAAGGGAAATAAAAATGGGAAAATTGAACTCTAGATAATCTCCAAAATTACTTCTATTGCTAAGATTGTTTTATATGGGGCTCATACCACACTGCGTGGTGAGACACATGGTTCTTATATGACAATTGAGGAAAATCTGAGATAACCTAGTTGGCCAAATTCATCCAAATCAGTAAAGTTAGTGACAGACTTGTTAATATAACTCAAGTTATTCAATTCCTAGCATAGTGCCTTTTTTCAGTTATCATGAAAAGTCCTTTTTAAAAAGTTCTGTCTTGGTTGGAATTCAAGAACCATACCGAAAAGAACAAACTAAAATAAGAAAACTTAGAACTAAACAGACTGGATTTCCATCATTGGATTGCTTTTAGGTGATGATTATTTTGTAAGGTTGATTATGGCTTAGTTTTGGAGGGCCTTGGCAATAACTTCAAGACGAGAAAAATCCATTTTGATCTTCTGTGTTGTGAGAAATTGTGAATGCTGGAGATTTGGTGAGTTTTGCTGTAGTTATAGTTGCAAACAAGAATTTAGAATAATTTATATACTGCTTCCAAATAGATAATAATAAGCCTATTAATATAATTACCAACAGATATATAATACTTTTTAAATTTTTTCATTTAAAATTCCAAAAGGGAGACACTGAAAAATGTGTATTATATATCAAAATACATGACATTACATGTTGGTGCACTAGCTGTTCAACTTAATTAAGACCCCTTATATAACATTTCTAGATACATGTTATTTCTTAAAAAATGTCCATTATCATTTTGTTCATCTTACAGAAATTAAGCAAAGGTGCAGTTAGTATAAAACAAAATAAAAGCTAGTTTTTGTTTTAAACTGTCATTGATGTTGAAATGTGTCAAGAATTTGTGATCAATTTTTGTTTGTAATTTTTATTTGTGATAATATTTTCTCTAAAAAGTCGTTCTAACTGTAAAGTTTATTATAGTTAAATGCAATTTATAGAAATTTTCTATAAGTTAACTGAATGGCTACTTACAGGCATATAATCTCTTAGAAGAGTTTAATCATAGTTACTCTACAGAGGAGAACAATCTGTTTAAAAATGATTTTTCTACGTAGGCAAGTACTGTTATTATATAGTAGTGTGGAAAATGTACAAGTCCAAGACTTTCAGTCAAAAATAGTCATACATGGCTCTTCAGTAGGTGATCTACAGGAAGGCCTATATCAATCTAATATGTATTCCATGCTATTAAAAAAAAGTTGAAATCACATATTAAAATCCCAGAAAAACACCTATTATAGGAAAGTCCATTATATACTATTAATATTTTTAAGCACCTGAGTTTAAAAAAGGAAGAGTAAGCTTAAGGAAAGTAAGCTTAAAATGTTGCTGAAGATAGTGTCTGAGCTAGACCTTAAATAAGACAATACAAGTACTAAAGCGAGTTTTGCCTTAATTCAGGAACAACCAGGAAGCTATATGAGAAAAAGCTGTTGAAACTTAGGGAACAAGGAGCCGAATCAAGATCTTCTACTCCTCTGCCAACAATTTCTTCGTCAGCAGAAAATACAAGGCAGAATGGAAGTAATGATTCTGACAGATACAGCGACAATGAAGAAGGTAAAATTGAAAAAGATGATAATTGAATACATGTAATTTTTTTCAGACTCATACAGTGACCATGAAGAAGGTAAAATTTAAAACTATTGGTAAGATATGTATAATTTTTGTTCATATCATTAGAGTAATCCTCAAAGTAATTTGATTTAAGTATTTTTTTATTGATAATTCTAAGAGACAAGTATAAATGTCCAATTTTCCATCACTTAAAATTGACAGTTAACTGTCTTTTTTGCTTCAAATCTCATTTTTCTAACAGAATAAAATATTACAAGTAAAGGCAAAGTTCCACCTACGTTTTGCCCATTATCACTTACTTCCACAGAAGCAATCACTATCATTAATTTGATGCTTATCTTTCCACTTCATTTTATATACTTTTACATATGCATCCATCTAATATGTGATATTGTTCTGTACTTTTAAAAATCCATATACATAATATGCTAAATCTTACCACTTGCTTTTCTTTACTCCATGTTATATTTTTGAGATTTAATTTTACTGATTTATTATATATGTTTATTCCTCATTATTGATACGTAGTGGTAGCATTTGAATATGGCATATTTTCTTTATTCTCAATTGATAAACATTTAAATTTTGTTCACATTTTTGCTAAATAATCTGATTTCAAGGCAACTTTAAAGCAAATGTTTTGGCCATATTTTTAGTAAGACTATGCTATAAAAATTTGACCGTGATATTTTTGAGACTAGTACATGAAATAAATGTTCTTTCAAAACTTCTTGTAAGTACAACTTGATCTTTATAAACTTTTAGTTCATATTACTTGTTTGTTAATATTGTGATTATTTAATTTGACCCAAATTGTTTGTAGTTCCATAAGCATTGCCTACCAGGGCACAGTCTGCCAAATTGGTTGTTCAGAATATGAAATATAGAGTCTTTTCCTTCAACAGCACTATTTTAGCAAAGAGGCAAAGAATCAGCTCAAACACGAGTAATGCTTAAACTTCCTGCCTCTTTTGCCTCTACAGGAAAGAAGAAAGAACACAAGAAAGTGAAGTCCACTAGGGATTTTGTTCCTTTTTCTGAACTTCCAACTACTCCCTCTGGTGGATTTTTTCAGGGTATTTCTTTTCCTGAAATCTCCACCCGTCCTCCTTTGGGCAGTACTGAACTACAGGCAGCTAAGAAAATACACACTTCTAAGGGAGACCCACCTAGGGACCCTCTTATTGCCACAAACTTGCCTGGCAGGGGACAGTTGCAGAAGTTAGCCTCTGGAGGGAATTTGTTTATTTCCTCCAAATCTAGCCATGATAGGTGTTTAGAGAAAAGTTCTTCGTCATCTTCTCAGCATGAACTCACTGCCATGTTGGTCTCTACTGCAGCTTCTCCTTCACTGATTAAAGAAACCACCACTACTTGCTATAAAGACATAGTAGAAAATATTTACAGTGGAGAGAAAAGTGGAATTCAACCATTATGTTCTGAGAGATCCTATATTGCAGATCAGTCAATTGTCTCCAGTGAAAGGAAAACACTAGAAGAGTCTGAGAGATCACAACTAATTTCTCCACCACTTGCTCAGGCAATCAGAGATTACGTCAATTCTCTGTTGGTCCAGGGTGGGTTAGGTAGTTTGCCTGGGACTTCTAACTCTACACCCCCACTGGACATAGAAAACATATGCAAGAGAATCGATCAATCTAAGTTTCAAGAAACTGAATCCCTGTCTCCTCCACAGAAATTCCGTAGACTCAATGAGAAGTCAGTAGAGGAAAGGGATTCCGGTTCCTTTGTGGCGTTTCAGAATATACCTGGATCTGAACCGATGTCTTTTGCCAAAAGTGTTGTCTCTCACTCACTCACTACCTTAGGTATAGAAATGTCTAAGCAATCACAGCATGGTAAACTAGATGCCTCAGAACTATCTTTTCCCTTCCACGAATCTATTTTAAAAGTAATTGAAGAGGAGTGGCAGCAAATTGACAGGCAAGTGCCTTCATTGGCACACAACTATCCAGTTTCTTCCAGAGAGGCAACACAGATATTGTCAGTTCCAAAAGTAGATGATGAAATTTTAGGGTTTATTTCTGAAGCCACTCCACCAGCAGGTATTCAGGCAACCTCCACTGAGTCTTGTGATAAACAGTTAGACTTAGCACTCTGTAGAGCATATGAAGGTGCAGCATCAGCATTGCAGATTGCAACCCACACTGCCTTTGTAGCTAAAGCTATGCAGGCAGACATTAGTCAGGCTGCACAAATTCTTAGCTCAGATCCTAGTCGTATACACCAGGCACTTGGAATTCTGAGCAAAACATACGACGCAGCCTCATATATTTGTGAAGCTGCATTTGATGAAGTGAAGGTGGCTGCCTATACCATGGGAAATTCCACTGTAGGTCGCCGACATCTTTGGTTGAAGGATTGCAAAATTAATTCAGCTTCTAAGAATAAGCTGGCCATTACATCCTTTAAAGGTGGAAAGTTATTTGGAGGAGAAGTATATAAAGTAATTAAAAAGCGTGGAAATAAACACTAATAAAGTAAAGAACAAAGACATCTATCTTATCTTTGATATGGGGAACTTAGGAACTTTTCTAGGAATTTCAGGTATTTTTATGCCAAAATTTTCTTTTCTGTTAAGGTCTTTGGTTTCCAGATGAGGCTAATTTCAAAATGTTATGCTTCTACCCATCAAATTACTGTATAAAAGTAATTGCCCATATAGAACTGCCTTTTTTTTTTTTTTTAAGATTTGCACAGATAGAAAGCCTGGTACAATGTAAAACTTTCTAGATCACATATTTGTCTCTAAATAGTTTGCTATTTTCTATTTTACTTATGCTTTTACAACTCTTCAAAAGTAAGAAAATTCCAATAACTAGAATATAAGTGGAGTCTTTACTGTTGTTTAATAGCATGATATGCGTTCTCTTTTATATCTAGGACAAAATTAAACACTTGTTGCACATTCAAAACAATGATTTTTTTTCTTTTTGATACTTCCATTAAGTATCTTTTCACTTTCTAGAACTTGTCCATGTTTTTGTTCCTATTTTCTTTCTTTCGTTTGTTACTGCGTTTGCAACATCATTCATAATATTCTAGACCAGTGCAACTCACAGTGCCAGTCCACAAACTTACTGATCCAGAGACAAGATAAGCAAACAACAATTTACATCTTGTGACACTTTTTAGGTCAATGACAGGATTTATTTTTTAGTAAAATTTTAATAATAGCAGTAGCTATATAATGTATTGTTTTACATTCCGATGCAAGTCACTCATTTCTTCGTGGTCTGGTAGCAGACAGTTCATGGGCCAGCACTAATCCATGAGAAACACTTCTTTAGGTCATAATAGATACTCTGGTATAGTGCATACTCACCATAACTCTATTTTGTCATATGAACTAGACAATAGAAAAATGAGACCTTTTTAAAATAACACTTTTCTTTTAAGATATGTTGTATTTTATAGACGTTTAGGCTTAATCTAGACTTTAAAGCAAATTTAAATTTTTTTTAAAAACCGTAAGAAATTATATTCCAGTATCTGTTTGTGTGTATAAAGCAGTTTGTTGTCCTCTTTTCATTTCTATGATTGTAAGATAAGACAGTAACTTACCTAGTAGAGGCATTGTGGTAAATAGTAGTCTTAAGTATAACAAAATACGGTCCCTTGAGTACTTTCTAGCCATTACCATACTCTTAGACTACACATGTCCATCTTTGCAACTTTCTGGGAGTAATTTTGTTACTTGTCTTTTGAAATGTACATGTATCCATGTACCTACTAAGTGCTGTGTGATTTTTTTAAAATGTATTACTGTAGAATGCTTCTGCAAATTCAATAAAGTTGTTAAATTTGAACATTTTTGTGTGGTCTCTAGAAACATGTTGTATGTGTGTTTTATTCTTGGAGTTGCAACAAGTTAAACAGTTGTGGATGAACATCCCTTTTCCATTTCATCATTGAAACTCACTTGACATTTCTAATTGAAAATATTGTGACTATTATCATAAGATTTTTTGTCTATTTGAGGACCATGTTTTTATTGGCTGTTGGAATCTAAATTTGTAAGAAGAATTAATCTGTACCCTTACACCATATTTGTCCAATTTCTGATAAACTACTAATGGATTTTTTACTTGGTGCTTTCTAATTTTTAGAGTTAACAGAGTATAAAAGTAGATTTTATATTGCTGGGCTGTATCAATCATAGATAGATATATTTGTTGATAGATGCATTAATGGAAGTGTTGAGAAGATGGGAGGTGGAGTTGATAGCTTAATCCTAAATAAAGATTGAACTATTTGAACTAACTTGGTAAAAATCACTGTTCTTTTTTTTTTGGGAAACTTGGGTGTAGTGTCTGGACTGACTAGTATTACACTGGAAAATTAGCAAGACACATAGCTATCTTAACCACGTTTTAATACAGCTACATTGAGTTCATGCAAAACTAAGCTTAGTGTAAAAATTGACCCCATTCCTGCCTCTTTGGTAAGAAAGTAATACAAGTTAAATTTTTGGTAGTAGAAGTTAACAACTGACTTTACTGGTTTTACTATACTATGATAAATGGCCACAAAAAGGGAGAAGTTAACCAAAATTTATCAGTCTTTTTTATTTTTTTTAGAGACAGAGCCTTGCTCTGTCTCACAGGCTAGAGTGCAGTGGTGCAATCATAGCTCACAGCAACTTCAAACTCCTGGGCTCAAGCGATCCTCCTTCCTCAGCCTCGGGAGTAGCTGGGACTTTAGGCACGCACCACCATGCCTGGCTAATTATTTTTTGTAGAGACGTAATCTACTGTGTTGCCTGGGTTGGTCTCAAACTCCTGGACTCAAGCGATCCTCCCACCTTGGCCCCCCAAAGTGCTGGAATTATAGGCATGAGCCACTGTGCCTAGCGTATAATATCAGTCTTTTTTAAAATCTAGATCTTCAAGTGGTGATAAAATCAAGACCAGGGGAGGCCTGCTAAGAAAATATGTATCTTTGAGTTGTTTGGTTAATTACTGTCATGATAAGTCAAGTAATATAGAAGTATTGGCTTCTCTCCAAAGAAATGCTATTTTCATTATGGGTAAGAGAAGTGACCTGTGATTGATTGTATTTTTCTGTGAACAAGATTCCTCCTTACCTCAATTGTACCCAGGTTTTTTATAACTGCATCAAAAAAGAAAAGAGGGAGACTTAGTATTAAAGTACTTATTAATGGCATTGGCAGTTATTTTATTTGTTATTAAAGGCTTGATACCATACATGTTTTTTTCTTTCCTAAAATTTCCTGCAGCTTTTTCCCTTTCCCATTCCAAGTTTGAATTTAATAAGCTAACCTTTGCAATATAGTAGTAGCATACTATATGGACAAAACAGTGGTAACAACTGTGTATTTTAATTGTACTTTTTCCACGTCTAAATTGATTTTTAGTGAAAAGTTTCCATGGGAGCATTTTTAATTCACTTTATGTTTGATGCTGTTAGTCCCAGAAAAAGGAGAGGAGAATTAATAGGAAGAAGTGGTCAGATTAAACAGTAAGGGAGATTAAAAAACAATTGAATAAAATAATGGGAAAAGAAAGTTTTTAAGACAAACCGTGGTTAAACAATTTTGGTCTATTGCGGAATTACCAATGGACAAACTTGTTTTACCTATGAATGTGCCTAAAACCAGGGTTCCAAAGTAATATTAGGATAACATCATAGTTTATTGTGTGTCTTAGAGAGTAATGGTTTCTTCGATGTTATTTCCAGACTCTAAAATAGAGCTCAAGCTTGAGAAGAGAGAACCACTAAAGGGCAGAGCAAAGACTCCAGTAACACTCAAGCAAAGAAGAGTTGAGCACAATCAGGTATCTAGTTTTGTGATCACCGTGTACAGGGATAAGTAATATCTTGACAACACTAACCTGTCTTGTGTTTTAGCCTTTGTTTAATGGTTGACAGCCAGATTCCAGCACACTCAATAAACTTAATCCATTGTCAGTTAAATGGCATTTGAAATCTGAACTGTGGATTTTGTCAGAAGTGTAGTCTATGCTTACTGCAAAAGCAGGTGTTTAATAAATGTCTCATTTGTGTTTGATTCTGTGCTAAGTGTAGTTCAAAGCCAGTTAACTGCTTTTTGAGAGAAATTTTTAAAAGGTGGAAATGCCTAACCACTTTTGACACAATTTCTTTAAAAGGCAAAGGAAGAGTTTTTTATTTGTGTCTTTGTCTCTAGATTTCTGACTTTGTTTTTATTTTTGCCTGCCTTGTCTTCTGTGGCTTTTCCCTAAACTCTGAAGCTAATCTGGTCCTGAGACCACACTGCTTTCTTTCCTTATTCTAGATGAAAATTTGCCTTTTTTATTATGGTAGAGGCAAGATAACAATTTTTCAAAAGGAAAATATAGGAAAATAAGCATAGGTGTAAATGAACTAGTTTACAAAGAACATTGGCTCTAATGTAGCGTTGATTTGGCTGACGCTTTACAAGACTGCTATCCCTAGAGTCTTTTTCCTTTCCCTTACTCTGTCTAGCTGGAAGATTTGTCTAGTTGGTTACTCATCTTTTCTGTCTCACGTTTGTCATTTTAAAATCATAAATCTTCAGAGGAAGTCTTCTTGATTTCTTAAGCTATTTCCCTCTCTTCATTTGATGTAGTTGATAAGTTGAATTTCGAAACTATTTGTTAGAGATGAACTTGGTGACTGGAGAATGTATAGAGCACTGAATGAATGAAGATTTTGTTTAAGAGAGAACCAAATACTGGGATAAATATTTTATTGCCGTGTTATCTAGTGTTGCCAACAAAACACGGCAGGAGCATGCCACAGAATAAGGAAATAACAGAGCAAGAGAAATTAGGAAAATCTGATGAAGGGCACTGAAATAGACAAGCATGGAGAATTTGGGTCCAGAGTATGAAGGCAAGACGATATCGTGCTAGCAAGCATGTGTGGCTAATCAGATAGTAGGTTAAAAAGAGGAAGCGGAAATGATATTAAAAATGGTTTAAGGGGTAGTTGTTTTGAGTTGGGGACTCTAAACTGGGGTAGAATAAAGTCACAGAACTGTAGGTTTAGGAGATGACAGGCAGAATTAGACAATGGCCTTATTACAGAAAATTTAGAAAAGTGAAGAGAGTAACGACTCTCCAGTCACAGATGCTGAATAGTTATGAGTGTTTTACCAATTTAGTCTGTTCACCCACACCCTCCAGCTTTTTAAATTGCTTTTGGTTTTGTTGTTTTTGCCTTTTACTGGAGTATATTAAAGCAAATCTCTCACATATCATTTCACACATTAAAATGTCAGTATTTTAGCATATATCTCTAAAGGATAAGAGCTGTTCAATTGATAGTGCTACTGTCACACCTAGTAAAATTAATTCTTACATGTCTAATTCTTGTTCCGATTCCTCTAGTTTCAGAAATGTCTTGGTTATGATTACATCATTCAAATCAGGATCCAAGCAAGATCCATCTATCATATTTGATTTTGGGGGTTTTTTTCTTAAATTTGTAATAACTGTTTCTCTTTGCTCCATTTATTTGGTGAAGAAACTAGGTCATTACATCATTTCCCACGTTCTGGATTTGGCAATTTGCTAATGTCATTTACTTTGCTTTTATTTAAATTAAACTTAAATAGCCACATGTGGCTAGTGGCCTGCCATATTAGACAGCACAGAATCTAGAGAGTTGGTTAGATTTGGGTTCGGTATTCAGTTTCGCAAGAATGCTTCATGAATGATGCGGCCTTCTTATTGCATCATTTCAGGGGGCACAGGATGTGATGCTAAAATTAATTAGTAATAGGTTCAGACATTGAAAGGCTGATCCATCCATTATGAAGTTCCACAGCGCCCTTTCATTTAATGGCTCTGGCAGTCATTGATGATTATTGCCTAGATTCATTATTTTGAACTTACAAAATAGTTGTTTTTCTCATTCTCTCATTCCTTTTACATCTATAACTGAAATTCCTTTGTAAAGGATTTTCCCTCATGAATTTCATAGTGACCTTGAAATAAATTTATACAGGAAAACCAGGAGAAATGCTTCTTGCCTTTTGTCAGTTTTCAAATTAAAGTACCTTAGTCGCTTTAAAAGATAATCATACATTTTTTTAATATTATGGCTTTTTATATATTTGATTTATGATCAATTTCCTACATTCTTTTTTCATGTTCACATTGTGCCATCTTTAGCTAGTGGGAATTACTAAGTTGGTTCTTGTATTTTTTTATTGCTTTCCACTTACCCCCATTTGTCTTTGATAGTTTCTTGTTTTCTGACACTGTAAGATGTTCTGGGCTCATGTAAACTTTCTGCTTCGTATCTGGAATCATCCATTTTTCCAAGGAACCCCGATCCTTTTAATGGAAAGTATTATTTGGAGTCTATAACCCGAATGCTAGAGTGTTCATTCCTACTGGGTTGTTACTGCTTCTAGGTCTTTTCAGTAAGTAGGGCTAGGTAAATAATGAATTCATGGTGATATTTCAAATTTATGGATATAGTCTATTTAAACTTTTGGGTGTTATACTTGGATCTCTTTTCTCTTATGCTGAGTATCTTGGTTCTTCAGATGATTTTGTTACTTATGTATAACAACATATATATGTTTCAAAATAATACAGTATTACTACTAACAATAATGCTTCTAAATGCAATTTGGTGAAATATTTTTTCTTGTCTTTAGGATATATCCCACTAGGATATAACATCAAAATACCGTGCTTAAAATCATTTGAAAGAATTTCTTTGTGTCATGAGGCCCCCAACTTAATGTATAGCTAGATTTTTTTGTTTTCTAATACTGGAGTTCCTTTTTCTTTCTTTTTTTAATTGTTGAGAATATATTTGTAGTTTTCTTTAGGCAAAATAAGGTGGAGTCAGAACTCTCATTTCTATCCTTGTCTCCTCCATCTATAGATAACCATTTTTATTAGGTTTTGGTTTATACTTGTTTCTTTTTGAAAATAAACAAACATAAATACATGGATTTTATATGTGTTCCCCTTTGCTTAAAAGGTAGCCTACTTTGCACATTCCTTAATGTCCCCCCTCAACTTAAACACACATCCTAGAGATCACTCCATGTCAGAATATAACCATCTTCCTCATAGCTTTGTACAACTGCATTTTATGTATTGCATTTTATGGATGTACTGTAATTTATTCAACCACTTTCCTTTTGGTGGAATTTGAGTTGAGTTAGTTGTACGCTATTATAAATAATGCCAGGATGAACCAAACAGCCTTTTGCAAGTGTCATTTTGTATTTTTGCCAGTTTATCTTGGGGAAGTCTGCAAGTGAAATTGCTAGGTAATTTCACTAGATACTATCAAATTCCTTTCCATTTTCCTTGAAACATTTTGCATTACCATCAGCAATGTGTGAAAGTCCCGTCCTCTAATGGAGGCGTATAGTGCTGTTTTTTAAAAAAAGTTAGTATGAGTAAACATATTGGTCATGTTTTACCTAAAATCACTCTTTAGGATAAGGTGGCTCTTAATTATCTCATGAGCTTTAAGAATTAATTATGCCCAAGCCCTTCTAGAAGAGATTCTGATTTAATTGGTCTAAAGTAGAGTTGGGGCATTTGATGTTTTTTAAAAGTGATACAGTGCCGCCAGGATTGAGAACCTCAGATTGTGAAAGTATTGTTCTCTTCAAATAGTCAGGAATATGACTGTTAAAATGCATTTATTTGTTTATGTGATTTGCTTACAAATTTGTCTTTTGACTAATATTAATTTTGCATTCAGCAAATATTTCCTAATTGATAGCAGGGTAAGGAACCCAGATATTTAGATTGTGAGTAAAGCTCTTATAATGTCAGTTCCAGATACGGATAAATATAAAATGAGACTGTGTCTGTACCTTGTGGGGTTTTGGTAATAATACTTCTAGCCAAATAAGCATATTTATTGGATGACTGCTCTTGTCACAAGAGTGAAAAATAACTGTTTTTAAATTTAGTAGACATTGACTTGGACACAAAACCATCAGTTATCTAGATAAAATATCGAAAGCAAAATTGACAACATAAGCACGCTCTATTGCTATAATACCAATCATTGATGGATATTCTCTACTTAAAAGAATTGAAAAGAATCATTTGGTAATTGTGGTTTCAAAATTGAAAACCTTGCTATTTTGAATGCAGAATCTCAGGTCCCATCCCAGAACTACTGAATCAGAGTCTGCATTTAACAAAAGCTCCAGGTTATTGATAGGCACATTATAATTTGAGAAGCACTGGTCTAATAGGTTTCAAACTAGTATGTAAGAACTGTTAAACTTTTTTTAAATGAAAAATCAGTCGGCTCTCTGCGGGAGAAATGAATCTGGGGCTGGGAGATAACAACTATTACCTTCCTGTCTGTCTGTCTGTAGTGAGTCTTGGGTAGCATTGTGATTTGACAGTAACATATTAGGCTTGTGTATTCATGAAAGGGTTTCTGTTGCTGCCTAATTTTGATTCTGTTTCTGAGAAGAGTTTGACACCTGGAAATTTTTCAGTTCAGATAGTTATGTATAGATTATAATTTAAACTGATTCTACTAAAGTAATTCTAACCACATGGAAAGAATGTTTAATCTGTGCTAACAATTATAAAAGTTTGTATTTTTCTTTTACAAGGAAACTGACTTGTTACAACAAATGACTTTCTCTTAAGTCTTGATTAGTCTGCTTTCTGTTTAGACAAAGAGATGCAGCTCTAGTACTAGAGCCAAATAGCAAATAGCAAGTCAAAAAAGAAGCCAGTGATAATTGATGCACTTTCTTCCTCTTCGCTTTTATTATAATTTGTGAGCTAACTGTAGGTGGACTCTTTAGTATATTTCACCATCCTTCAAGTATATTCTGATGCCTAGGTATCTATTCATTCAGCACCTTTAGGAATATTTTGAGGACATGGCATTATTTGTTTTGCGCATTGTTTTTATATGCTGGCATTTGGAGACTTTTCATGGCTTCTCAGTGTGCTAATATGGCCATTATTAAGGTGTTTAATGTTAGAATATGACTTTTTAATGTGTTGATGCTTGACTAGAGCTATTCTCAAGTTGGAATAACTGAGACTGAATGGACAAGTGGATCTTCAAAAGGCGGACCTCTGCAGGCATTAACTAGGGAATCTACAAGAGGGTCGAGAAGAACTCCAAGGAAAAGGGTGATGCAAGGCTTATTGCTTAGAACTGGGTTTTCAGATTGGTAGGGTTTTAGTGATTATTTTATATTTATTGTTTTTGTTTTGTTTTCAACCTAACAGGTGGAAACTTCAGAACATTTTCGTATAGATGGTGCAGTAATTTCAGAGAGTACTCCCATAGCTGAAACTATAATGGCTTCAAGCAACGAAACTTTAGTAAATATTAAATATGTTTCATAAACTATACGAGTGGTATTCTTTGTAAATTACCCTTTAATTGGAAATGGGGAGGTGGTAATTTTGGCAAAGCTCAAATTTACATGTTTTTTAACATTTTAAACTGATTTTCCCCATAAGGTTCTGAATTTTAGAATTTTTCTATATAGCCAATTTATATAAGTAAATTTAGTTCTTTGTAGAAGAATCCTAAGTATTGTAAGGATACTTTTTGCTAAAATATTTGAAGAATGATAAGGCTTCACATAGAAGCACTGAGTTGTATTCATTTTTAGGCTCTGTTGCCTAAATTTTTATTAAGGGAAAATTTCAAATATTATAGAAATAGAGTATCTTTCTTTTCTTTTTAAATCTTTGTTATGTTTGGATAATTCTGAGTCTGAATAATTTGAATCTTGGCAGGTTGTCAATAGGGTGACTGGAAATTTCAAGCATGCAACTCCTATTCTGCCAATCACTGAATTCTCAGACATACCCAGAAGAACACCAAAGAAACCATTGACAAGAGCTGAAGTAAATGAATAAAATTTAGATCGATGCTATCATTGATCTTTCAAAGAGAAAATGGAGTGGGAGGGAGCAGAGCTTTCTTTATTGGGTGGTGTGTGTATATATGCATATATTTTAAAGATACACTTTTATTAGTGAAAATGGAAATTAATATAATATGACATGCTAATACTATCCTCTTGCTACTGTGTGCCTCTTAAGTTCCAGTTTTCAAGGGAGTGGTCATTTGTATGCTGCTTGTAATATATTCTGTTTGTCATGGATGCAAGTTTGAAAGTGCTGCTGGGCTGTGAGGGGAGGCTATACTTTCATTTGTTGAAAGGTCAAATAATGGGACTTTCAAGTGACTTTGTATGGTGCTTGAATTGGTTAACTCCTGTATAATTAAGCTTTAAAGTACTAACTGCATGGTGCATTATAATTTTAATGAATCTTTGCCAAAGGAGATGAAATATTTATTATTTTGATCTGAGAATAAAGGTAAACAGCAAAATAATCAAGCTGAAAAATTATTTTATGCATTTTAAGTTGAGAACATTGCACTGACTGTAGTTTAAAACATACACTATTATAAAATTTGTTAAAGGGCCATGTTAATTGGCTATCATATATTTGATCATTTATTTTATTAAAGAATTCTTAACATACAAAGAAACAATATAGTCTTAATGTTTTATTAGTATAAAACATGGAAAATCAGTGAGGGAATTTACACTGCCATATTAGGTTACTGAAATTTTTTTTCTATTTATTTGGATCTGTGGTGATTCTTTCCCCTAATAATCACATTAAAATATCTTCATATGGAAGAAATTTGAAGAGAGCCTTGGAAGCATGTGGATACCTAGACGATAGTGAATTTAGAAATGGCAGTTGTTAAAAGCTAGGCTAGATTTAAAGGCATTTTGTTCTCTAAAACTTCTATTTAAAATTATGTTTTAATTATTGCACATGTACTCTAAATTTTAACTTGTGGTTGTTTGTTTGTTTGTTTCTTATTAGGTGGGAGAAAAAACAGAGGAAAGAAGAGTAGAAAGGGATATTCTTAAGGAAATGTTTCCCTATGAAGCATCTACACCAACAGGAATTAGGTACTCAGATACATTGAAACAAGTATTAGTGTATTCTACTAGGGAATCTTTTAAAATTCCTCATCACAAAGATATTGTACCTCTGTACTCAAAATTAAACTGTTCTTTTGGGAGCAGTTTAATTCCCCTAAGGTACCAGTGTTTCATATCCTTGAAAGTTGAATCAGTTTCAGAATTAACTTTGTTAAGCTGAAGGATTGTAAATAAATCATTTACTTATTATTTAGTTCATATTTTTAAATCTAAATGAAACCTTAAAAAGAGGGAAATAATTTTTCCCCCTGAGTTTTTCTTTTCTAATTGAAAAGGCTATATTTAGATATCTGTTTAATTATTTCTTAACTGAAGGAATCACAACCAAAACTGTCTTACATTTTTCCTCTTTCCTCCTAAATATATTAGCTTTGAAAAAGCCTTTAAGAAGGCGGGTTTAGTGAATATTATCAGTATTCTGAATATTTTCTAATAAAAGATGCATCTAACTTTTAAAATGAAAAACGTATAGGAGTTTTAAATAGGTTGACTGACCTCCCTGCTTTATATATGTCAGTTTTCTACTGTTACCTCACAGAATGTACTTGGACTTAGGAGTGGCAATGACATTTTGTTATTTATCTAAATCATGACTTTATCTAAAATTATTTTTCTCTCCCTCCTTTGCTCCCAACAGTGCTAGTTGCCGCAGACCAATCAAAGGGGCTGCAGGCCGGCCATTAGAACTCAGTGATTTCAGGATGGAGGAATCTTTTTCATCTAAATATGTTCCTAAGTATGTTCCCTTGGCAGATGTCAAGTCTGAAAAGACAAAAAAGGGACGCTCCATTCCCATGTGGATAAAAATTTTGCTGTTTGTTGTTGTGGCAGTTTTTTTGTTTTTGGTCTATCAAGCTATGGAAACCAACCAAGGAAATCCCTTCTTTAAGTTTCTTCCTAATAACTCTATAAAATCCAACTGAATGATATCTCTTTGGCACACTCAACTTGGTCTCCTGCTTTTAACAACTGTATTGAAAAACATTTGTGTACATTTGTTGACTCCAAGAACTAAAAATAATGTGATTTCACCTCAATAAATGTAATATTCCATTGAAAAGCAAACAAAATATATAAATGGACTTCATTAAAATGTTTTTGGACTTTGGACTAGTAGGAGATCACTTTGTGCCATATGAATCTTTTTTAGCTCTGGAACTTTTTGGTAGGCTTTATTTTTTTAATGTGGGCGTCTTATTTCATTTTTGAAAAAAAATGTATATTGTTTTTGTGTATTTTTGAAACAAGGGCAAAACATGATAGTATAATGTGAAGCTACACATTTAAATACTTCGAATTCTTACAGAAAAGATTTTAAGAATTATTCTCCGCTAAATAAAAACTTCACAGACGTGAAACAGTGAAATTTGGTAAGAGAAAAAGTAATTTGGTTGTACTTTTTGTAACTACAAAATTTGATGGTATTTAGGAGGAAAAGTACAGCAATAATCTCTTCTGTAATTTTATTAATAGTAATGTCATTGTTTTAGCCCTATCATGCTTTTTACAACATTTCTAGTATTATGAAAATCCTACTTCAGTAAGACCCATTTAAATAGTTGATTTTTAGCAGGGATCTTTTAGTGCAACATGTATGTGTTTTAGAGAACTGTTAGCTGGCTGTACATGTCTTAAAAGGCTGGCAGCTAGCTATAAGGCTATAATTGGAAATTTGTACTTTTTATTTACAGCAAAACGTTTATTCTGTCAATCCAGTTTGCTACCAAAATATTTTTTAGATAAGTATATGTGTGTTTAGAAGTTAGAAATTTTAAACACTGGTCTTATGTTCCATTTGGATTCATTATTGCATTGTCTTCTGTTACCAAGAACAAATTTTGCCAAGTTTTTTTGCCCTGTACTTCCCAGAGTAATTTGATTAAAAGTGCAAAAAGTATTTGGTTTTAAATTACATACTAAGCAGTAGTTAATACTTAAAGTTGTAAACTCTGAATGAATTGGGCATTATGATTTTGTTACTCTTGAAATGGTTAACTTTATCTTTGTGATTTTTTTGTTTGTTTTAGCTGAAACTTACCTCGTATAACTTGGTTAAGTAAAGTAGTGGGTGATTGAAATTTCAGAAGAATCAAGTAAAACATAAAAATTTTAAACTTATTCATTTGAGTTTCAGCTTTACAGTGATTGATCATAAAGCACTAAAAATGTAAGTTATTTTTAAATATCATCTGAAATTAAAAGATAATTTTTAAAAAGGAAGAAGCTGAAGATGTATATTTAGACCAGCACACGATTCAATTTGGATTAGCCCTGTTCTGGTATTTAGCTTTTAGATATTTTGTAGACATTTTCACTTACTTTGCAATTGCAACCAGAAACATTTGTAGGTCTGGTCCTGCAGGGTGAGTGGGAAACTAACTCCTAGATCAGAAATGTTTGCCTCTCTGAGTAAACGTGTTTCTTTGAGATGAGCCACAGAAGGGGCACGTTTTACTCAACTTTTCCACTATAAGGTAGTAGCAGTATACTTTCTTTGTTTTTAAACTTTGTTTCCCATATTGTTTTCAGTCTTTTGTTTATAATTTGAAATTGTGAGAAGCTCCATTTAATGTTTAAAATGTGGGGATATAAATCAGACTTAACATGTATGTAAAAATCAATTCTCTAAAAGTATGGTCCAAAATAGCAAAAGTAGTACCAGCTAAAACATGTAGTCATTTTTTTAAAAACATGTATTTGGTCTTTTGTCTGTGTCTATTTTATTCCACTAGAGTAAATGTGTCCTTAATGTAAGTGCAAAGCATTTCTTCCTGATTAAATTGTAGATGTAGACCTTACAGTATAATTAAATAATAAAGTAATTAACCTCTAGTTTTGTCGTTGTAATAAATGATTTTCAGATAACACAAACTATAAGATTTTTAGATAACATTCTTATGTGGTGGTATTTATGGGTTATTGCATTTTAGTTCTCATTTCAGTCTATTCATGTTTTACTTCTATCATTGTAATTAGGTCCTCATTTGTTCCTAGGAAAGCATGTGTAGCCATTGTACTCACGGAATGACATTAGGAAGCTCTCAGAGGCATCTGTCACTCTACGGTATAGTGACTACTGCTTGTCTGCCTCTATTTCCTTCGCCTCCCCACCACCTCCGGTTTTACTGTCTTTAGTACCTACCTGTGACACTTGTGATTGTTAGTCTTGCTTTGAGATTAAGGCAAAGTGTCACTGTGGGATGTTCATCATGGAGCTATGCTTACAAGATAAAAGTGCTGTTATGTCTCTGTCATTCATGTGTCCCCCCACCAAAGGTGATTTTATTTAAATTACTGATTCTCAGAGTAACATATATATCATCACTAATTAGAAAGCGAATAGCATCAAAGGCTTAAAACAACAATAAAGTTTATTGCGTGCTTACCATGTGCTAAGTACTGTTATGTACTTGATATGTATTGACTCACTGAATCCTCATGATAATCCTATAAAGTAGGCATTTTCTTATTCTCTCATTACAAATGAGGAAATTGATGCTCAGAGAAGTTAAGAAATTTGGTCAGGCTTGTACACAGCTGAGAAGTGATGGGTCTGAGTGCATATAATATGACAGAGGGGACCTAAAAGACCAATTCTCTATAAACATACTTTAGACCAGTTTTGTGTTCAGCCCTGCTCCTTCCACAACTTTGGTGGTACCTCTTAGGGGGTTCTTTAGAGTAAAGTAGCTCACTCCTAGTTGAAGCTCTCTGTAGCCATTTAGGTTTAAGCCTTCTTTAATTTTGCTCGTTCAATTTCTATTTCTTAATCTGTTTTCCATCTTCCAAAAAATGTTTTTGAATTATCTTTTGTCTCACTCCTCTTTGTCATTGTATTAAACACTTTTTATTTTGTTTGCCACTAATACAGTCTCAGTAGGAAGAGGCTATAAAACAAATGTGGTCAGTCTGTCACCTTGAATTGGCAGTCACTGGGAGCTTTTCAGAGTTCACATACCATCCTTTCCACCAAAGATTTGAGAAGGAAGGAGAGGAGCAGACATAAAGTGTTGAGTTTTAAGGGGGATCCATGTGATTCTGTTACATTCCCCCAATATGGAATCAGTAGTTGAACTGACAGTGACATTTATGCTATATTTACAGTGCTTTTAAATTGAAATTTATTGCTTACAGAAGTTTGCCACCTACTCCAATAGGTATTTATTTGATGCTTCCTCTGTACCAAATATAATGTTTGGTGGTGCATGGGTACAGTTATAGAAATTTCTTTGAACTTGTGTTGAGGCAGTCTTGGGGAAAGTAGTTTTTTAATAAAAGCATTTGGCCATTCCATTAACTACTAGCCATATTGCTTTATTCACAGTTTAAATATTGCCATTAATTATTCTTTATCATATTGTGAGAAATTAGTAACGACTTTGTAGTTAAAGGACCAAATATATGTCAAAGTTTATTTGGAATAAATCAAAGCTGATTTTGAAAATTCAATCCTGGCCAAATGCTTTTTATAATAGACCACTATTGATTTTATTGTCAGAGACAAATAAGTTATCTATTACCGTGTGGTAAATTACCTCAAAACTCAACAGCCTAAAATGTTGTAGTTTCTGTGGGTCATAAATCAGGGAGTAGATTAGCTGGGTGAGTCTGCTTTAAGATTTCATGACACTGCAGTTGAACTATCTGCCAGGCTGTGGTATCATTTGAAGGATCAGCTGGGGCAGAATCTGCCTCCAGGCTCACAAAGTAGTTGGCAGGCCTTAATTTTCCATACTGGCTATTGGCTAGAGACTTCACAGTTGCCTGAGTGCCTTCATGACATGGCAGCTGGATTCTCACAGATTAATCTACGGGAGAGCAAGTACACCCAAAATTGAAATTGCAAGTTTTTATATAACTTAATCTTGGAAGTGATAATATCACTTGAACCATATTCTGTTGGTCACACAGATCAATGCTGTTAAAGTGGAGCAGGGACTACACAAGGGTGTGAATACCAGGACATGGGGATCATTGGGGCTCATTTTGTAGCTTGGGTACCGCAACTACTCTCTAAATTTGAGGGGTTCTATAGCATTTGGGAACTATTAAGTATTGCCTTAAAATTCATACAGACAGTTCTTTGAAGTGTTCACTTTGATCTGTTCATTCAGAAGAATTGATTATATATGAATGAATAGCAATGAGACTGGAGAGAAATAGATTTTAGTTATCTTTCAGAGGTAAAGTCAACAGATTTGGTTAATTAGATGTGGACAGAGAGGGTTAAGTAAAAAATAAGCTAGAGAGTTTTTTGGTTGGCTTAGTGGAAGGTGGCGCCATTCACTGAAAGAGAATTCTAGTAGAAGACCAAATTTGGAGGAAAGATAGACTTTGGATTTGAACACATTGAATTTGATAATCCCTATGATAAATTGTTATGGCCTAACACAATGCAGGAATATGTGAGATTACCCACAGAGATTTGGAAGAGTGAGAAGGGGCTAGAGATGAATATCAGCATTTAAGAAGTAGGTAATGAAGGACGACCAGGAGAGTGAAGATGGTCAACAGTTTTACGTTGCTGAGTAAAATGTGGGCAGAGAAACAGTGGTCTAAATTTGCAATCAGGTGACCTTGGTGAGAATAATTTCACTGTTAAGACAGAGGCAGAAATGTAGACAGCTCTCAGAGAAAATAGCAGTAGCTTGAGAGTAGACAATATGTCAAGGAAGGGTTTTTGTTTCTAAAACGAGAAACCAAACAGCCAGCACACAGATGAAGAAACATTACCAGTCCCCCAAAGGCTCTCACCTCCCTTCTAGTTTCTGTCCTTACCCCTGCTTAACATAACACTGATTTTGTTTTTTTTAATTCTCATTCTTTTCTTATAATCTGTAGATCAGAATTGTCCTGTTTTTGTTGCTTGGTTGGTTGGTTTGTCTGTTCCTTTGTTTTTTAAAGAGACCATTCTGTCGCCCAGGCTGGCGTGTAATGTGGCACAATCATAGCTCACTGCAGCCTCAAGTTCCTAGGTTTTTGTTTTTGTAGCTTTATAAGTAAAATCATACATTGTATACATAGAACTATTTGTTTTTCACTTTTAGGACGGTAAATAAATTATATGAGATAATGCAACACTTTTATAAATCACTACTATAAAATAGGCTTTGTGTTACATCAGCGGTCCCCACCCTTTTTGGCACTAGGGACCAGTCTCATGGAAGACAATTTTTCCACAGACCAGGGATCGTGTGTTGTGTGGAGCAGGGTTGCGGAGCTCAGGTAGTGATGAATAGCCCGTTTCCTAACAGGCCACAGACTGGTGGTGGGTCACAGCCTGGGGTTGGAGGACTATAGTGTTAGATGATTTTGCAAAACTGTAGGCTAATATAAGTGTTCGGAGCATGTTCAAGGTAGGCTGAGTGTATTAAATGCATTTTTAACTTACAATGTGTTTATCAGGACATATACACCATCGTAAGTTGAAGAGCATCTGTACTTGGAATAACGTGAGTGGACCCAACAGACATAATGTTGAGTGGAACAAGCCTGAGAAAAAATATTGCATGATTCCATTCAAAATTCCTAAGGTAGAAAAACAGGCAAAATATTCTATGATAGGAGTCAGTAGTACATAACTTTGAGGAGGGGTGGGTATTAACTGAGTAAGAGAATCTTACAAAGTGATGATATAGGTGGTAGTTAATATGAGTACATTTATATGTAAAAATTCAATATACATAAAATTTTGTGCACTTTACTGTCTTAAGCCTCAATAAGTAAAAGCAACATTTCTTAGAGATTGAGAAAACATCAAAATTTCAGAAGCCCGGGGCAGGTAGAATTTGTGAGACAAAGTAACAGAAGGAACGTATGCAGAAATACTCCAGAAATCTGCATAGGAATGCCATGAATATTTGACTAAATACCAAACTGTGCACG